AATCACCAGTCTGACATACAAATTTGCTGTCAAGGTACTTGGGATAATGAGAGTGCTCCTGCTGTCATAGGAAATTGCTCCCCAGACCATAACTCCTGTGTGTCTATGCCACAGACACACAGGAGTTATGGTCTGGGGAGACAGCTTGGTTTCAAGTGCTCACCTGGCCTCCTTCTAACCAACATAAGGCCATCACTGGCACCAAGACAGAAACAACTCTCATCTGAGAACACAACAGATCTCCACTCCGCCCTCTGCTTGACACCACTGAAGTTGCATGTTAAGTTCAATTGTAACATGTGTCAGGTGTGTGGATGTCAGCAAGTGTTGATGGACAGTCCACAGCTTTGTCACATGTGTCAGGTGGGTGCGGTAATAGTATCCCTAAGAATGTGGGGGAGATTGTCCCACCTAGAGAGGGAGAAATTGTGAGCTGCTTGGTGGTGTATCGAGTCAGTGCTGACCGGGGAGCTAACCAGAGTGGGTAGCTGTGTGGCTGGTCAGGAACCAGTATTGTAATTATCAAATAATTGTCGAGTGCCGGAGTGTTGCTCGATTATGGAGTGCCAGAGAGTCACTCGCTGATTTGGAAACATTAAAGTGTAATTGTGTTGTTATTGTTAGAAAGGAAGTGTGTACTGTGTTCTTTTAGACTGTGTAAACAGGAACATTTTACACCCCCATCACAACATTTTACATACAACATTGCAGATGGTAGTGATTTAGAGTTAGTGGAATAAATGCCACAGAGTGTCTGGCTCAAAGCTGTCCCTCAAGAAATCAATTTGTTACAGTTTGCTGGGTCACTCTGGTGCTAACAGAAATTCTAATTTTTGCTGCAGATGCAGTACAATGCACCACAGCCATGTGCCAAATATGGTGGTCTTTCCTCTCAGTAGTGGCCTGTGTGCGGCTGGACCCAGGTCTTCGAGACAGCACCTTTCAGTGACCGCAGCTGCCAACAATCACGCACAGTGAATACATCCCTGCCAAGTCTTTCTGCAATAATGTGGAAAGAAAATCCGCCTTCTCATAACCCTATTTACATGGCCTTGTTCAAACCCAGTAAGCTGCTGATACTGCCTTCTTCATCTCCTTAAAGGCATTTTTGACTCAAACCTTAACTCACAATGTTCAATCCGGACGATAAATAACGCTCAACAAGTTTACATCCTGTATTTACAGCAAATGTGATTTGCATGTTCATTGTGGCGCTACTCGCATCACTCTTATTCATCTAGTGCAAAATTTGAATAGATGTCATCTTTTAGATAAGAAAACACACCTACCAAGTTTCATTTATCTAGCACAACTCTTTCTTGATGTTGGGTCCACAGTGCCTATTCACAAAAACATCGTATGGGCTATTCTATTTTATGGACATACCCTACTCTCTACTAGTATATAATTACGGTTAATGGTTTTAATTTTTATAAATTTCAATCTAATTTTTTTGTATCTGTCCTATAAAATGACTCCGAATTTTCAGGATCTTTTTTTATGATTCAACTATCGTCTTATCTGCTGAGATATACGGTATATATAGTCAGTCAGTGATTTTTTACTTGGTATGGAGTCACTGCCATGATTCTCAATGTTGTGTCAAATTTCAGTCATTTTCATACTTCCACCACCTCTACTATCTTCATGCATTTCATCATTTTAACCTTTTCTTTCAATGTTGCAATTTCACTGTTGATGTGTGTATTTTAATTTTCTTATGAGCATTTCTGAATTAAAATTTTAATAATTAACAGATATTTAAAACATAATAAAATTTAAAAATATATAATTCATTGTATCTTCTAATAGATTATAATAATTAAAACTAAATTAATTTAGAATAGCATAAAAACTGCCATTTTCAATGAACAGACCAAATATAAATAATGAATTTGAAAGATATGAGAAAGATAATCTTAAACTAAACAGCTCCAAAGTTGGTTTTGTTTTTGATTTTTGAGCAATAATGATTGAATCTCAGTTGTAGTTGAACACAAATAAGCTAATGAGTTATCGTTACATAGTGTGTATTTATTGTCTATGAGTGTACTACATTCATAGTAGTGATGGGACAATACCAAAATTTCTTCCGAACCTGATTTTGGCAAAAACTTTTGATTCCAATACTATCCCCAATTCCTTTGACTACTTTCTAAAGTTAATTTTAGTTCAGAAAAATTAATGATTTATATTATGAGCATGGTATATTCATCAATTAATAAACATCAAGCTTAAAAATGGAAAATCTAGAATCAATGTTTCAAAAGAAACCCAAAAATTCTCTATTTATATATAGATATGCATACATTCATTGTGTACTACAAAATAAATTTGTAATCTTATTTATGTAAAGTTAATAGTGTAATGCTACCCTCAAAAAGAAATTACAGCTAATCCTCTTTCACTTAACAAACTGTCCCATCATGTCATCTAGAGTCACCAACCTTGAAAACTGCTTCATTAGCCATCATGATGACTAAGAAGAGGAAAGGTATAAATAAGAAGATGCACTTCTTTTTTCATGTTTCTTGCCATCAGCATGCCTCTTAAATGGTTTTATTTCATTGTATTTAACACTAAATGAGGTTTGGCAAATGATGCAACAACGTAAACAAATATCATCATCATGAGTTAATCACAAGTTTTGAATTCATTCACTTGAGTCAGGTTTTTCTAACGGTATAATTGTGCGAACCTTTTTTGAAGAAAAGAAGAATCCAACAAATGCTTAGACTGATTCATCTTGAAAAATCAATTTTTAAAACTCAAATGGCAGTAAACTTAGCACAAAATTATTTTTACTTGGAATCATATGAAAATTTAATGCACTACAGTATCATCTGTAAATCATAAAAACTGTCATAGTTATAATGAGAAAGTTATTATATCACTAAAAAACACTTCTATATAGGCTGAAATTAATTTAGTTTGAACAACACCTTAAATGCTTTTTTCTGGAAACACTTTACTTTTAATTTATTTAAACAAACATTTTTGATTCCTTTTCATAGGTTTGTGTCAGGTTTAACAAGATTCAAACTGTTTAAGAAGAAGACAGTTCAAATATTCTTTTATATATGGGCAATCTTCTTTGAAGATCACCCATATATAAACCAAACTAAATCTAAATTTTTCTATAAACTTCCCACTTAGTTTATAGGGATTCTGATAATGTTCTTAAAATGGGTACCACATACATTTTTGAAATTTACAATTAATAATGCTGTGATGGGAACTTTATAAACCCAGGCAAAGCTGAGTATAACAAGCTAGTATAATGTAAACATGGAAAAAAATAGAAAACAAATATTTTCCAAAGTTTATGCCTTAACCAAACACAAAATCAACAGAGAAAGTTTCTTCTTTTTCATACTAAAAAATTTTCTATCAAAGTGCAATCAATAAGAGAAAAATCTCTCATGATGATGTTCACCTTAGCAATGTGGTTCTATATCAATTTGAAAAAGATAGCACAAATTTTTCACTGGCACATGTAAGAACCAAAAGATCAGATGAAATCAAAATCAAATCTAAATCTGATGCAAGATTTAATGTTCATAAGATTACTTATTAAACTTTACTAGATTTTAACACTAATACACACTTACCACACAACTTCCAGTACATTAAGTATTCAACCACAAACATTTTAAACTTCATTCAGAGGCCCTCTTTTTAACACATTTCATTTTATTGTTTGATACTAAGCTTTTCTTGATTGATACACAAATTATTGTTAATCCTATTAACTATAATTTGTGTACTGGCATGTCATTAGGCCTAAATCATACATTTTACGTCTTTAAAATAATTTGCAAACTCAGTAATATCAATTATAATATTTAACTAAATTATTTCCTCAAATCAATCTTATAAGCAAAATAAATAATGGTAGATTTAATTACATTTTTAATGTTTTGTGTCAAGACTTTTTGATTCAATAATTGTTTAAATTTCCATAAAGCGTTTACAAATGTTAATCATAGGCACTCCAGTTAATTGGTTAATGTGAGTCGCACTTTTTATATAAATTTGCATCTTTGACAGATTATAATTAATGTAAATTACTAACAGAGATAGGGTGCAAATAGCTTTCCTTTCATATCTTAAAAGGTTCTACCTTAGATGGGATATTCCAAAAGTAAAATTTGGCAGTAATGCAAAAATAACTGAAATTTTCTGGCTTTCACAACTTTTACTGTACAAATGATATAGCCTGATAATCTGGCTGTATGGTTTAATTAACTATTAACATACTAACAAGGGAACTATCAGAGTGTCTTCTAATAAATTTTAATAAAATTTAGTTAATAACTACGTTAAAAGTATACAAACTCTATTTTAAATTTGTAGCATTCACTAAAAGTGTTGATCAGAGTTATTAGCAATCAAATGTTGCACTACTTTATAGTAGTTTAACACAGTTATGCAAATTTTTAGAAGTGAAAGGGTCGCGGAGGAAGACGGCGATATTACATTTAGAATAAATTCTGGAATTTTCAAAAATGGGAGAAGAATTAATAAAATTTAGTTAATAATTATGTTAAAAGTATACAAAATTTTATTAATTCTTCAACCATTTTTGAAAATTCCAGAATTTATTCTAAATGTAATATCGCTGTCTTCCTCCGTGACCCTTTCACTTCTAAAAATTTGCATAACTGTGTTAAACTACTATAAAGTAGTGCAACATTTGATTGCTAATAACTCTGATCAACACTTTTAGTGAATGCTACAAATTTAAAATAGAGTTTGTATACTTTTAATGTAGTTATTAACTAAATTTTATTAAAACTTATTAGAAGACACTCCGACAGTTCCCTTGTAAGTAATTTGGACTGGAGTTAAGCTGCCCTCATGTTAATATTACTGATATTATAATTTGATAAGAATCTGGCTGTATCATTTGATTATTAATATATATTGGGTTTGGTTTTTGTGATTTATTGTACTTAAAAATAAAATATAAACGAACATAAAAACTGAAAATTACTTACATTGCTTTCACCTTTTGGAATTTGTTGATCATTAAATTCTAAAAGTTCTTGAAGTTCTACTTTAGATAGATTCTTTTGTAAAAGATCACGATAATAAAAAATGGTATCACTTTGTTTCTAGAAATAAAAATTAAATTTGAATTTAATTTATATTTCATATTATGAATAACAAATGGTAATTTGACATTGAATGGTAAATATGCACATTTATTATAAATAAGATTGAGTTTCAACCTTATTTATCACTCATTTTGTAAAATTAAATAATAGAAATACATTAATTATTGATATCATTGATAAATTGATGATTATTAAAAGTTGTTAATATTAAAAGCCAAGTATTTTATTGTCAGTGCATTTATTTATAAAATTTACAATTCAATTCTAGAATCAGAAAGAATAGATGCATATTGTTACAGTATTAACTGTACTTTTTTAAAATCCAATAATAAGCTGAACAAAAATATAAAATCACTGTTTAATAAAAATATACTAAAAACTAATATACTATTAAATCTAATTGTAAGCATTTTGACATTCATCTCTTTAAAGAGCAGCCTCGATAATTTCACAGCATTCATTCTGTTTTTTTGCTGTATTATTTTGTGCCTGGAGTTTTATCTGGTGTTATGATTTCTTTACTCTTCTACAATACATTGCATTCACCTTTACAAGTATTAGACTCAAATATAAAATTAGACCAATCCGGATGGAAAGGGCAGAGCCACATTTCTAATATGGTTAATTTCTTTTTAATAATCTAGAAATCACTACGAAATGGCCCTTTATATGAGAAATCTAATCCATACAAATTTTATATTTGGCCAGATTCTCAAACTGAAATGAATATAAGAAATTACTGCTGTTAGTTTCCTGTAAACTTCCACAATAATTATGGATATATCTAGCTAACACATGTTATTTCTTTTGAGATGGCCTAAGGTCACCCTTACTTTATTTTTTAAATGGACTCTATGAATGTATTATCATATACAATATTGATCAAGAAAAAGAAAGCTTATAACAAACACATCTAAAGAAAATTGTTTTTCAAAAATTTTAATCTATATATATAAAAATGAGTGTATGTCTGTCTGTATGTCCTACATACATTACCACACCATTTATCCGACTGCCATGAAACTTTGGAAAGTTGTTTAATATACTCCCATGAAGGTTTCTGGCATAGTGCATTTATCCTACAATAGACGGCGTGAGTGTATACGAGCATTTCATCGTGAATTCGATCAATTTCAAATTGTGAAGACCATTTCCCCCTCCAAAAAATATCTCTATATATGCATTTGTGAACTGTTATTTACGATATTTGTAATAATTTTTGTTTAATCACTTTATTTCAACTATTTTTTGCTAATTATGTATTTTGCTCGAACTTTGTTAAAACCTTAACTGTATCCCGAACAACCGAAGTTGTAGGAAGAAATTTGCCTATTTTACCAATCTAGGGATCCCCCTTTTCCAAATTTTAATATCAACTCACAATAATTTAAAAAGACAAATTACAATAAAATGTAAATTGAATTTTATTACAATGAGTTGGCTTGAATTTCGTTTCTTCTGAGATCGCAGCAATGCGCGATGAGTAAGCTAGTTAATAATAAACCTGAAGTTAAGGACAGCAAATATATTTTAAATACAGCTGGTATAGAAAAATAAACTGTGAATAATCATATACACTGGTGTGCAAAACTTAAGCAACAATGTAATTTTTAAGCAGACAGCCATAAAATTGTAGGAAAGTGCGTGTTGCGATCAGTACAATAAACACCCAACTCAGTAGAAAGGTAATTCATATTCAGGAAGAAGACATCACAGGTGTGATGAGGGTATGTAGAATGTGTGCAGTAAGTGCACACAGGGCAAGATTACAATAAGAAGGAGGCTTTGATTCCATACTGTATGCATTCTATTCATTTTTGTGTTAGTATGGTTTCTTCATCCTTTAAGTACAAAATACTGTCTCTGTATTCTGAATTTCATGTCTCCCAGGTGATTTCTTGCGGCGTTACAACAATTGTTGCTTAAGTTTTGCACACCAGTGTATATGTTGTAAAAAAAAAAAAAACAGCTACACATTATGATCATTAAGAAAAGCCATAACATGTTCCAAACGTTAGCTGATGCAATCACAATACAACAGACAGGTTAAAATTGGTTTGAATGTTTTAATTAGGGTGCCTGATGTTGATAGGGGACATGCAGCTCTCAGAAATGTTTTAGCTGTTGTTATGAGCATTAATCCATCAAGTCTCTATCAATTAGGAAACAAGGAATATCTTCTTGATTGACTTTACGCTCATAATGAATTTACAATTTCTGAGAGTAACTTTATTAACATTCAGGACATACCTTCAACTTCAATAACACTTCGCTCAGCATCCATGTTAACATCTGGAAGTAAGCAAGGGTTTATAATGTCTCACTGTAAAAGATATTGTATTGATAAAAAATGCAAATGTCACTCAAAGAACATAAAATGCAACTCAAAAGATCATGTTAATAGTTCTTGTAAAAATAAATAACTCTGCAACATTTTTGATTCTCCTAAAAAGACTGATTTATTAATAAAAGTTCCTGACAAAATAATTATTTTTAGTAAATTAGTTGTTTGAGAATGTTGACATCTCAAGCACTGCAACAGATTTTCACAAATGATTAAATGATGTTGCAAAGTAACCAAGTTACATTTCTGTATGTTATGAATAATTCTGTTACCTACTTATAAAAGATAATTAAAGATAAATAAATCATAATGAAAAAGAAAGTTTTATTTTCTTATCATCATGTCATCACCTCATTATTAATTAACATCCAGAACTTGTGGTGGCTTTTAACCATAATATATCTGTCGCACAGTGGTTTTTAACTTTAGCAGCTGATTTTTATGTCATCATGTAGAGTACAAGAGTACATCAAGCCCCTACTAGTACATGTAGTTTGACCTTTAGCACTTTTAAGCAAAAAAAAAAAAACAAGCAAATGTGTATTTATCTCCATACATTTTATTTCTTTGAAAATTTTTTTAAGTATGAAAATTAAATTTCTAGGTAAACTTGTAGAACTAATGTTGTTCAGCATTAAAAATTGTAAATAAAAATGTTTTGAGGCTGGAACCCAAATTTTAAAGTTACAAACCATTGTACGTCATATCACCCTCTATCATGGTTGCATCAGCTAACATTCAGAACATGTTATGGCTTTTCTTATCACTGCAACACATAATGGTCAAATATCATGAAAGCCACAATGCAAATTTCACTTTGTGGTCTTTTTGAGTTAGTCAAAACACATTGTGGCTGTTTTTACAAGTGCCACAACATAAATTTTACACTGTGGATGATTTAAAGTGACCACAATGCATTGTGGCAATTTTTTTTGCTCAATGAGCATTTTTGGTCTTTGAGCCTAACATATAAATATAATAATGTCTGTGACACTCCTTGGATCTAATAAAGTACTGCACAGATCTTTACACTTTACACATTTCCACAAACATATGATTTAGGATTCTGGCCTTTATTAATTCATTAAGAAGAAAACATTTTACAAAAAACAATAACATTCACTTCTCTTGCTCTTTGATGGAGGCAGCACTATTAACTTCAATTACTGTCTTTTTATAATAATATATTCTTAGAAACTTTATGTTTTACAATGTAATGGCAATACAGGCAGTGATTTTTATAATTTATAGCCATAACGAAAAAATTTAATGTGTTAAAGTTAAATATATAAAACTCAATTCTTGAAATTATTTAGCATTATTGTACATTAAACTGTTTTTTTTATTCCTGTAATGTTTTGTTTGATGTTTTTTCCCCCCAGATATGTGAAACTTATCTGCACAGGCACAACTAGTATATTGTATTTTTATTTTATCACAAACCAGAAATCATTAAAATAAGATAAAATAAAAAAGTATTTTTAAAAAAATGTAACTATTAAAAATAAATTTTTATGATGCTTACATAGGTAAAATTTTACTTGCAAAGATGGTCTTAAAACACTATCATTCCTGGTGTTATGTCCATGCTTCTGAGCAAACTCTTTCAGCTAGGAAATATGTTAGGCTTCAAGTATTTCTTCAGAGTATATTGAAAATTTAACAAGAAAATAAATAAAAATTCCAACACAAAATAATTACTTGTTTATTGATTTTAATTTTTTCTTCAACTCTTTTTGATCATTAACTCCTAAAGTAAAAAAGCCTGGTAATCTGAAATAGAAAAACAATCCTATACTTTCATTCACTATACAATAATGTAATATAAAGTATACAGAATTTAACATTTAATATAAATGCAAATTTTAAATTATTAATTATTATAAATAGATAATGATACTCATAATTGTAATTACATTGTTTTATCATCCATTTTTAAAACTCTAAGTCACAATATAAATTTCTGAAACTGGCATGTTTTATTTTTTGTAAAGTAAGTAATATTTTACTTCTTTAATTTTCAACTTTGACATGCTTTAGCTTGTTTTTTTTAACACCCTCTAAAGTTTATTTTTAAAATTCAACTATCAGTTAACCAGAAAAGTGTGCACTTTCTCAAGATAAAATACAGTAAATCCTATCCAAAATGGAACCTGAATAAAAAAGAAAGTGGAAAAATTCTTCAGAACAGATCAAACTTTTAAGTTAAATTCTGCTATAAGCCATAAACCTGTCCAACATGGAAATGAAATGATTTTTGAGTATGAAGAACATAGCATAACCTGGATAAGGCAGAAAATTAAAAGTCCATTCAAAGACAAATAAGTAAAATTGCCTCCAGATATAATGATCATAGAGCATGATAAATTGTAATCTGAGAAAAATTTCAAGCCTTGTCACAGAAATGAAGGGGACATACAGACAAAATATCTTTGTTAATATTAGTCTTTGTTGGAATTAACCAGGGGTAGAATCAAATACTTTCAAGAATCATTAGAGTTTCCTCAAACCAAATGAACAAAGCAATAAATGTAATTTGTAAAAACAGTGAGAATAAAACAACACAGTGTTACAGTTTGCTTTATATGGAATAGTTAGTAACTAACTAGTACTAAGTATTCAAAAACAAGTTGATTATAACATGTTGCTAAT